ACGCCGCCACAGCATGGCTTGACAAGAGGTGCGTCGGTGTACACCGGGGATCCGAACCGGCGAACCCCGGGCCACCACAGCGGAGCGCACGCACTTAACCGCTTGCACCACTGGGCCGGCCCCAATACAGTATTATTAATTATAGTCATTATGCTGTACATGACATCCCCAGGACTTATTAACTGGAAGTTTGTACTTTTTTACCACCTTCACCCATTTTGCCCACCCTCCACCTCCCACCTCTGGCAACCACCAATCTGTTCTCTGTATCTATGAGTTTGGTATTGTTTTTAGATTCCACATATAAATGAGATCATTTGGTATTTGTCTTTCCGTGTCTGACTTTTGCCACTTAGCATAATGCCCTCAAGGTCCACCCGTGTTGTTGTAAATGGCAAGATTTCCTTCTTTTTTATGGCTAATATTCCATTGTATATACACCACATTTTCTTTATCCATTCATCCATCGATGGACACTTAGGTTGCTTCCATATCTTGGCTATTGTAAAGAATGCTGCAATGAACATGGGGGTGCATATATCTTTTCAAGTTAGTGTTTTCATTTTCTTTGGATAAATACCCAGAAGTAGTATTGGTACTACTACCATATGGTAGTTCTATTTTTAATTTTTGAGGAACCCCCATACTGTTTTCCATAGTGACTGCACTAATTTATATTCCCACCTACAGTGCACAAGAGTTCCCTTTTCTCCACATCCTCGCCAACACTTGTTATTTCTTGTCTTTTTGATGACAGCCATTCTAACAGGTGTGAAGTGATAGCTCGTTGTGGGTTTGATTTGCATTCCCCTGATGGTTAGTGATGTTGAGCACCTTTTCATGTACCTGTTGGCCATCTGTGTGTCTTCTTTGGAAAAATGTTTATTCAGATCCTCTGCCCATTTTTCAATCTAATTGCTTGTTTTTTTTGCTATTGAGTTGTATGTGTTCTTTATGTATTTCGGATATTAACCCTTATCAGATATATGATTTGCAAATATTTTCTCCCATTCAGTAGGTTGCCTTTTCATTTTGTGATGACTTCCTTTGCTGTGCAGAAGCTTTTTAGTTTGATGTAGTCCCACTTGTTTATATTTGCTTTTGTTGCCTATGCTTTTGATATGAAATCCAAAAAATCATTGCCAAGATTGATGTCAAGGAGCTTACCTCGTATTCTTTCTTCTAGGAGTTTTATGTTTCAGGACTTATGTTCAAATCTTTAATCCATTTTGAATTAATTTTTGTATATGGTGTAAAATAGTGGTCCAGTTTCATTCCTTTGCATGTGGCTGTCCAGTTTTCCCAACACTATTTATTGAAAAGATTGTCCTTTCCCCATTGTGTGCTTTTGGTTCCTTTGTCATAAATTAATTGACCATAAATGCCTGGGTTTATTTCTGGGCTGTCTATTCTGTTCCATTGATCTACATGTCTGTTTTTATGCCAATACCATACCGTTTTGATTACTAGCTTCGTAGTATAGTTTGAAATCAGGAAGCATGTCAGCTCCAGCTTTGTTCTTTCTCAAGATTGCTTTGGCTGTTTGAGGTCTTTTGTAATTCCATACAAATTTTAGGATTGTTTGTTCTATTTCTGTGAAAAATGCTGTTGGAATTTTAATAGGGGTTGTGTTGAATCTGTAGATTGCTTTGGGTAGTATGGACATTTCAGCAACATTAATTCTTCCAATCCATGAGTATGGAATATCTTTCCATTTATTTATGTCGTCTTCAATTTCTTTCTTTCTTTCTTTCTTTTTTGGTGAGGAAGATCAGCCCTGAGCT